AGTTTTAGAAGTATGGCCATTTTCACTATATTGATTCTTCCTACCCAGGAACAAGGGATATCTTTCCATTTTTTTTATCCTCTTCGATCTCCTTCAGAGTGCTGTAGTTTTCAGTGTAGAGGTCTTTTGCTTTCTTTGTTAGGTTGATTACTTGGTTTGATTCTTGACAAATTAATTTTTCATTACAGAAACCATTTTCAAGTAGAATTAAATGAAGAACAAAATGTCACTGCATAAACAGAATGCCAATAAAGTTTAGTTCCTTGTTTTCTCTGAAAGAATTTACAAATAAATGAAATTTGTTAATCAATTGTGGGTATCCTGTCCCCCCCCATCCCTCAAGAACTGGGGATTGAACCCAGGGCCTTCTCACTGAGCTGCATCCCCTAATTCTTGCTAAATTGCCCAGGGTAGTCTCAAACTTGGGATCCTCCTGCCTTAGCCTCCCAGAGTGCTGGGATTACAGGCATGGCCTACCATGGCCAGCTTTCAGTATGGATTCTTATAAATAAAATTTAGCATATGTGCTGCCGAAGCGAGCACTCTTATAAATAAAATTTAAAAATGATTAAGTATGAAGATCCTGAGTAATCCTAACCCCCATAAAATGGATATTTAAATCATAAAGAATCCACTATTTTAGAGTTAAAAATTTGTTTTGGTAGTTCTGGGTATTGAGCCAAGGACCTTGCACATGCTACGGAAGCACTCTATTACTGAGCTACAATTTCAGCTGGAACCCACAATTTTATAATACCTGGATGTCTGCAAATAATTCTTAAACAGTATAGCAAACAAACATAAAAAGGGAATACATATTGTGGAGACCTGAATTTTTCATTTCTACTGAGAATGAAATCACCTCAGATAAAACATTATATAAAGGGCTGGGGGGGCCGGTGATTGAGCTCAGTGGTTTCGCCCGCCGCCTGCTGCGCAAGCACAAGGACCCGAGTTCGATCCCTGGTACCAAAAAAACCAAAACAAAACAGTAAAGGGCTGGGGATTTAACTCAGTGGTTTCGCCGCTTGCTGTGCAAGTGCAAGGACCCGAGTTCAATCTCTGGTACCAAAAAAAAAAACATTATATAAAGACAGTATGAGAATTAAGACATTCTGTTATTTTGGTTTTTCTTTTCTTTCAAGACTACAGTGAGATTAAGAATGATCAAGTAGGGCCGGGGATTTAGCCTAGTGGCACAGCGCCTGCCTTGTAAGTGCAAGGTCCTGAGTTCGATCCCCGGTACTGCCAAAAAAAAAAAAAAGAATGATCAAGTAAGCCAGGCATGGTGGTACCTAACAGTAATCCCAGGACTCTGGGAGGCTGAGGCAGGAGGGTTGCAAATTCAAGCCCAGCTCAGTCAACTTAGCAAGACCATTTCTAAACAAAGGAAGGAGCTGGGAATGTAGCTCAGTGCAAAGGCCCTGGGTTTAATCCCCTGTACTCAAAACAAAAAACAACTGAGGAGAACCTGTTGGGTGCCATAGCTCTGTTGAGTTATATTAAGTACATGACCTAAAAGGAAGCCTGTAAATCTGCTCTAGAATCACACTTGAAGTTTCCATTTGTCCTAAATCCAAACTGTTAAAACTAGAAAGTCCACTGCCAATCAACCTGTAAAACAGATTTTTCAGAATTTGATAATACACATTTTTATAACCTAAACTGACTGGTAGCATCATCAATTAGTCATAGCGCTAATCTAAGAACAAAGAAGGAGAAGCTATTTTTCAACCCTTGGGTCTGGAAGGTGAGTGGAAGCAGGTAAAAGACAGGAAAACTGCAGGAGGCAGCACATGCCTGCATGAGGGTCTTTCTGTCTTCTGTGGCACTGCTGTCACAAGCACAAGCTTGTGCTGGTCCAGCTTCCCACTGATAGAACTATACACTTCTGTTTCAAAGGTGGCTTTTTTATTAAAAGAAAAATTATTCAAAACACATGATAAGAAATTAGACTTTTATCAATTCAATATACAAGTAAGTTTACTTAAAGTCAGCTCAGTCACATATTTTAAAAAGTTCATAACCTCCTCTCCACAATGTCTACGGTCTAGAACAGGTTCAGGAAGCCTACAATCCTACCGAGGAACATCAACACATGATGATCCAGGTACTCACTGACATTTTCCTCTTTTTTTGGTGTTGGGAATTGAACTCAGGACCTCGCACTTGCGAGGCATGCGGAGGAACCACTGAGCTAAATCCCTGGCCCGGACACTTTCCTCTTGATATTGGGAGATGGTCACAAACAAAACCTTTCTTGCTGGATGAGGTGGAAGATTCACATAAAAGCTTCATAAAATGTCTATGAAGGAAATACTGGTAATGTCAGAAGAGTTCCAGCACTTCAATTGAATATAATCCTGTATTGTTCTTTTCTTGATTTAATTTCTGTATCTCCCGAAAACTTACTTCAATCTTGTTGAGCTCAGAATAAACACTTATCTGAAGAAAAAAAAGTTTCAGAGTAAGTTTTACCCTAATTTCTACATAGAAATAAGTTCTCCATGATTACTTATGACTTTTCAATGAATAATTAATTGTCTTGGGGTGCTGGGGATTGAACCTGGTCCTTACGCATGTTAAGCACATACTCTAACCACTGAGCAGACCAACAACCCCTCTATGAACAAATTAAAAGAATAAATTGTAATTTAGAAGCACAGATAGAATCAGTAAATATTAAATAATCACAAACCTGGGATTTCACAAACTTGTAAAGGTTTATCAGTAGCCTTTTTGCTTCTGGTATCATTAGAACAACAGTAAAATTAGCATCTAGAAGTAGGCATATCCAATCCATAATCTGAAGAGAGAAACAGAAAAAGGAAAGTTAAGACTAAGCTTAATTTTAGGTTAATTTATATTACAAAACCCATAATTATAATAAACTGGTACAAGAAAAATAAGTATTCATAAAAGCCTCATTTAGAGATGAATTTCTGAAAATTTTCTGCTTTTGAGGCAGGAGGGTAGTGAGCCCAGCTTTGCAGCATAGCAAGACCCTGTGTCAAAATAAAAAACAGAGTCAGACACAGAAAATGAAACCAAAATGGAATGTACTAGAGAAGAACAGGACAACTATTTTTATAATTTTAGAGTGGGAAGAGCATTAAGCATGACATAAGCCATAAAGGAAAAGCTTAATACATTTCAATAGCATAAAAATTTGTCCATATCGAAAATTCAAAAGCTATATTGAAGAGAATAAAAAGATAAATCATAGGGGGAAAAAATCCTCTAATGTATTTGATAAAAAAGACTAATTTCCTTTATACAATGAATGCTTTATAAGCAAAAAAAAAAGAAATACAATAGGACAAAGAACTTAATAGCTCTTGGAAAAAATTAAAATATGGTAACATTTGTTACCTATTTGGCAAAGAGTAAAGCTTGACAATTTCAGGCGACAGAAAGAATGGGAAAAATAAGGCCTCAAAAATCTTCGTTGTGGTGGTGGGAGTGGTTACAACTTTTCAGAAAGGTAGTCTGGCATTCTGAAAACTGAAAACACATGCACCCTTTCGTCCAGGAACTTCAACTGTGGGAATATATCCAACAGCTGTTCACTCCTAAATATAAAAAGCTGTTTTTTGTTGGGCGTGGTGGGATTAGAATCTCAGCATTTGAGAGACTAAGGCAGAAGCACTGCAAATGTGAGTCCAACCTAGGCTACATAGTGAGACCCTGTCTCAAAACCAAGCCAAACCACCAAAAAGATATCTATACAAAGATACTCATTGGCTGAGCATCTTCCTGCCTCATCCTCCCATGTGCTGGGATCACTACTGTATGGCTGCTGGGATTATAGGAGTGTGCCACCACACTGTGCTTACATTCTTATTTTTGAGGTTAGGGGGGACTGCCTACTACCTGTTTGTTTGTTTGTTTATTTATTTATGGTAACGGGGATGGAACTCAGGACCTTGTGCTTGCGAGACAGGCGCCGGAACCACTGAGCTAAATCCCCGGCCTTCCTACCACCTCTATAAACACTTTTTTTGGGGTACCGAAGATTGAACTCAGGACCTTGCACTTCCAAGGCAGGCGCACCACCACTGAGCTAAATCCCCAGCTCATGTATAAACCCTCTTTGTCTTCTCCCAACAAAGCTGAGGAAATTCTTGGAAAGGGTCATAATGAAGAATCAGGAAATTAGACTGTATAACATAAAACTATGGATCTGCAAAAGCATCTATTAAATTGAGACCTCTACTTAAATCGCCTATGGTCTGTGTATATAAAGAGGGAAGAGATTCACATAGTCTCCTCATGGAAGGGACAAGGAGAAATCAGTTACTAATTCCAGATGCTGACAATGTACACAAGCTCTTGTGCAAAGTGAAAAATGATCCGACCTGGCTCAGAGTTGGAGGGTGTATTCCAGGAAGAGTCATAGTAGCATTCTCACTGCACTTCAGATAAAGGAAGTACAAATACTGGAGAAATAGCTAAAAGGAAAAAAAGTCAATTTATTATTTTGGCAGAATACTTTTCCCTACATATAAATTGAATAAAGATACTGGAAAGAAATTTCAGAGGTTGTTCGATTTAACTACACATCAAGCAATTATGCCAGATATCTGGGGGCCCAGAAATAAAAAAAGTCTCCGCCAACACTGAGGAGCTCATCTGGTTTCACAAGCAATTTATGCTGTTTGTAAATAAGAGAGAAGAGAATTTTTTCTCTCAGCAACTGTTTTTAGTGTCTACTCATTCATAACTTAGATGGCTTAACCAGGACTGTAGGCCTGGTGAAGGAATACACCAAGTTCTCCCACCCACCCAAAAACAACTCTAGTCCCCTAGGCACCATTTTTCACCATGAGGACCAGGCACATCTTATTTACATAAAGAATCTGATAAGGGTTAGAATGCCCCAACAGTTTGGTCAGAGTGAAGCTGCACACCTTAACACCAAAAATAAAGTTCTATAGGACTTCCAAGAACACTTACAGTGATATCCTGTGCGGGGAGATCCTTCAAGTGAGGCAGAAGAAACGTCTCACTGTATGCTGAATGAAGAATGGCATTTCTACTTGGGACTAAAGGAAAAAATCTTACTTCAATAAATAAAAGTTGAGCTGGGCATTGTTGTGCACGCTTGTACTTCCAGCTACTGGGGAGGCTGACATAGGACTGCCAAGCTTGAGGTCAGCCTGGATAATTCAGTGAGAGCTTAACTCAAAACAAAAAGGCTTGGGAATATCACTCAGTGGTAGCGTCCTTGGGTTTGACCCACAATACCAGGGGTGTAAAATAAATAAAATTATATATATGTTAGTCCACTGAGAACATGAGTAATTTCCTTCCTAACTTATGCAAAAGTGCTACTTATGTCAATCACTGGACACTTTTCTAATCATTCGAGTTAATGTGGAATACTTCAGTATTAAATATATGTATGCGCAAGGTCCTGAGTTGTATCCCTGGTACAAAAAAATTAATATTTGTTTAGAATATTACCTTTTAGATTCAACAGAGCTTTGACTTTGGTATAGCTAAACTAAACATCTTCTTTTTGTGTGTGTGGTTTTTTTGAGACAAGGTCTCACTCACTATGTAATTTAGGCTGGCCCTGAACTCACTATATAGCTCAGGCTGGCTTCAAACTTGCGGCAGTCCACCTGCCTCAGCCTCCTAAGTGCTGGCATTATAGCCATGTGCCACCATGCCTGGCTTAAACTTAATCAAGAAAACAAGTTTAAGCAAATCATTTGAATGTACAATTGAATACAATCCATTTTCGAGCGGAAGCTGGAAAATGGAAGAAGGAATATCCTTAAATTATCTAATTACTCCTTAGCTCTTGCTTGGCATAGGACTCTGTCCCTAGAAAGCCATGGAGGAAGGGAAACCATGTTCAAAGGATACAGCAGAGCTGCCCTTTTGGGTATCACAGGGCACGAAGAAGTCTCTTCTGTTGAATCCTGAGGCTTTTTACTTAAGTCCCGATTATGGTTACTGTAGTTTTTTTCAGCATTGAAGCCATTTCGAAGAATTTCAGATTGCTCTTCCATTTTCTCATCTTGTTCAGTATTACTATAATCAAAAATTGACTCCATGTTGATATTAATTCCTTGAAGACTGTCATCACCAATGCTATGATATTAATTGAAAGCAATGGGTTAATTCTTATTCTTTGAACTTTTGGTGGAAAATTCATTTTCCAAGCATTGAAAGTTTTAGGAATCAAATAAGAGATTTAAAATGCAATGAAGGAAAAAGACCTCTGGATTTTAACTTACCTCAAGAACGTTTTTAAGCAAGCACATGTGACAGACTCAGGGATGTCAGGGAATTGCTGCAGACAGAGCTGTAGCATCTGTACATCTGTTTTTTCTAAGGCTGTGTCCATTAAGCCAGGGCACAAGCTAAGACAAAAATAGCAGAACCATTTTTTATGTTAATAAAAATGTCAACTGTAAAAGACAAGATCAAAAGAGTTATTACAAGTTCTAGGGGCTCCTAGAGATTTCTTAGTATTTTCTCTGTAGATGATCATTTCATCTACATATAAAGATTTTGCTTCTGCCCTGCCAATCCTATCCTAGTTGTGTCATTTTATTGCCAGACTATTTTGGTGGGGACTAGGTTTCAAAGTTTAATGGACAGATAAAGAGTAAGCATATGTGCCCTTGTTCCCCACCTTAAGGGGAAAGCATTGTATCTTCTCCATTCATATAAGGCATTCTCGCTGGAAGTATAGAGTACATGTCTTTAATCTGTTGAGAAGTTTCTGTTCTACTTCTAGTCTCCTGATAGCTTTTACCATGAACAGCTGTAGAATTTAGTCCAATACTTTTTCTCCAACTAGTGACAGGATTATATGGCTTCCTCCTTTCCTCTGTTAAAATGATGACTTTTGGGGGTGGATCTTCCAATGCTGAACCAACACTGCCATCCCTACAACAAAACCACTTTCTACATCCTGCCAGATCTGACTCCTAATAGTTTGTTTTGTTAAACAAATTTCTGTCTATGTTCATACTTTTTTTCTTCTATTATCTTTATCTAGTTTTAGGATTAGCACAATGTTGAGCTCCTAAAATGAGGGGAGAAGTGTTCCTTCTTTTTTCTGCCTTAAATGTTTGATATAATTTATCAGTTAAAATGTTTATGAGCCTGCTGTTGTCATATAGATAGGTTTTCAAGCTAGGAATATACTTTCTTTAATAGGTGCTATTCAAATTTTATATTTCCTCCAGAGTTAGTTTCATTAATTTGTCTTCCAAGGTACTTCTTAGAAGTTGTCAAATTTATTTCTAAAAAGATTTTTGTAATATGCTTTCTATATCCTTTTAAATTCTGTAAAATCTGTGGTAATGTCTCCTAGATCTTAATATTGTAATTTAAAAAATGTATAACTGATATTGTGTAACAGGAAGAAAAGGTCTAAAACAGCAGGGGAATTGGGAGGGGTAGGGGAAGGGAAAAAAGGGAAAGGAAAAAATATAAGAGGAAAAAATGGAAACAAAGTCTTTGCAAATAGGGAAGGGTGGAGGGGGTGAAGGGAGGGCAGGGGAAGGGGAAAAAAAATAAGAACCAAGAGACTCATGTAATGGTAGAAGATCTCAATGATGAATGTAACTGTATTTTATACCTAAAATGTACCAATAAACTTAATGGGGGAAAAAAAAAGTTATGCGTGTAAAATTAGGGGTACATGAACATCTACCTGTAGGAAAGCACATGAGTCTGGATAAGCTGCATCAGACAGTTCTGGGGATAAAATGATGGTTCTGCTTTACATCTGCCCAAAAGTCCTGTTAGTATGTCCCCAATCGCAGTATGAAAGTCAGGTGTCCACTTCGCCAAAAATTTACGTAGTTCTACTTCAATGTGTTTTTCTGAACCACTCTGAAAGGGCAGAATTGAAGAATTCAGGGTGGCACATTACTAAATGTCACTTTGAACTTAAAATTTCCTACATTTTCTCAAATCACTAACATAAACATTCCTGTAAAACAAGTTGATATTGTAATTTGTTAAGAAAAAACTGCAAAGAAAAAACTTCGAGGGTTCAAAAATCCTAATTTTTTGGGGGGGATGCTGGGGATTGAATCTACAGGTGCTTTACCACTGAGCCATGTCCCTAGAAGACCCCCCCCCCTTTATTTTGAGATAGGATCTTGCTAAGGTGCCCTGGCTGGCCTTGACCTTGTGATCCTCCTGCCTCAGCTTCCTGAGTGGCTGGGATTACAGATGTACACTACCATGCCTAGATGAAATGTAGTCTCATTACGCTCAAAGTAAAATTAACAATAACGTAGTACTGCACTGATTGACATTTTATTTGGTTTTTTTTTTTTTGGTGCCGGGGATCGAACTCAGGACCTTGCGCTTGCGAGGCAGGCATCGGAACCACTGAGCTAAATCCCCGGCCCCTGACATTTTATTTGTATATGAATATTTATTTACTAAACCATATTTAGAAATTAGCACCTAGAAATACAAATATTTAGAAAGCTAAATTATAGGCTACGTGTGGTGGTATGTGCCTGTAATCCCAGCATTCAGGAGGCTGAGGCAGGAGGAGCACCTCAAATTCAAGGCCAGCCTAGGCTAAATAGTTCAAGGCCAGCCTGAACTACATAGTGAGCCCGTCTCAACACCTCCACCTGAAAAATAAAAATAGAAGGGTAAATTACAAACATAGTCAATGCAAAGTTCAATGAGGTTTTTATATCAATACCAGAACAGTGATCTCATGAAACAATAGTGAGAGTCAAGCCAAGGTTTTGGATAACTCTTACAACCTTAAACTATAATACAAGCCAGGTGTGGTAGTACAATAATTGTAGCACTGGGGAGGCTGAGGCAGGGGGATCACCACCAGTTTAAGGCCAACCTGGACTACATACCAAGACCCTGTCTCAAAAAAAAAAAAAAAAAAGATATAACACAAAGCTGGATGTGGTGGTGCACACCTATAACCCCAGAACTCCAGGAGGGTGAGGCAGGAGGATCACAAGTTCCAGACCAGCCTGGGCAACTCAGCAAGACCCTATCTCAAAATTTAAAAAGTGTTGGGAATGTAGCTCATTGGGAAGGCCCTAGGTTCAAGCCCCAGTACTACATACATAAAAAGGATATGATACAGATGTTATAGTTATAAAAATGTTTATTAAAAAGGTAGAATAATGGAACCTCTAGTTTTACTTTTTTGAGAAACATCCACACTGATTTCCATAGTTGTAGGAGACCAGATTGAAACTGCACTGAGCAGACTTTAGATATTATTTATGTGGCTTATGAATTTAGCTACTGATTAACCTTATTAATCACTCCAAGGCCTAAGTGTGAACTGCTAATTGACCTCTCAGCTGGTGTACAGAGATAGACTTCCCTATGCCAACGGTCACAACTGAGGTCTCAATGATCGATGAGGTTGTGACGTCGCTAATAGCAAGGCAACACCGGGCTGGGGATTTAGCTCAGTGGTTCTGCCGCCTGCCTTGCAAGTGTAAGGACCCAAGTTCGATCCCCAGTACCAAAACAAAACAAAACAAAAAAGCAAGGAAACACTACAGCTGAGGAATCATGACTCTGTGCACCATTCTCTAAGATCAAACATTGTTAGATAACAATGGCAGATGGCTTGTTAGCTATGACCTGCAAGATAGCACAGGTGGCTTGTTAACTGTGACTTGGTTTTCACAGGTATACACACTTATACAAGCCTGGCAGTGCATTAGTGTGCCTATTCCCCACATTTGCCTTCACGCCCCCTTGCTATGTTGTATAATCATAAATACTGACTAATCCAGAGCTCTTGGTCTTAGCCAGGACAGAGCTAAGATCAGGTGGTCTTTAGCTAAGAGAGAGCTAAAGATTAACTTCCGGCCCTCCAAGTAAAACCTATCATTTGGTCATTATTCTTTATTCCTTGTTTTGTGTATATTATTCTTTTATCCCCTGATGTCCCTTCATCAGGTTACTGGGCTTCCCCCAGTGACTGGTCAGGCTATCAACCTGACAACTGGTGGGGCTAGCAACCCGACGCAGTGGTTGCACCACTGGAAGTAATAATCTTTGATAAATGGTGCTGGAAAAACTGGCTTTCCACATGTTGAAGATTAAAACTAGTGCATATGTTTCACTATGCACTAAACTAAAATTGAAATGGATCAAAGATTTAAATATTAAAACAGAAACCCTAAATCTACTGGAAGAGAGAATAGGTAAACTCTTGAGACATTGGTGCAGGCAAAGACTTTATGAACAAAACCACAATTGCACAGGAACTATCACAAAGAATCAACAACTGGATCTCACTATTAAAAAGCTTTTGCACAGAAAAAGAAACCACCAATGGGGTGAAGAGACAACCCACAGTGTGGGAAAAACTTTTTGCCAGCTGGTCCTGAGTTCAATCCCCGATACCAAAAAAAAAAATTTAATAAATAAAAAGGGCCAGGGATTTAGCTCAGTGGTTCCAGCGCCTGCCGAGCAAGTACAAGGTCCCGAGTTCAGTCCCCGGTACCAAAAATACAAAACAAAACCAAAAACAAATAAATAAAAAGAACTACTATCTAGAATATATAAAGAACTCAAAAAAATCAGACCCCCCCCCCAAATTTAAAGACCCAATCCAAAGATGGGGATCTAAAATGATTAGATGCTTCTCAGATGAAAAACTAGAAACGACAATATATGAAAAAATGTTCAACATTACTGGTCATTTGAGAGATGCAAATTAAAACAACACTGAGATTCCATCTGACTCCAGAAAGAATGGCTGTTATTAAGAAATCAACCAATAACAAATGCTGGTGGGGCTGTAGGGAAAAAAGAACCCTGCTCCACTGTTGGGAGGAGTGCAGACTGGTGCAACCACTGCGGAAATCAGTGTGGAGATTCCTCAAAAAGCTAAAACTAGAGCTTCCATTTGACCCAACTATTCCCCTTGTCTTTTCTTTTTTTCCTTTGTTTTCTTTCTTTCCCCTTCTTGATATCTTCCCCCCAAAATTAAAAGCATCCTACCACACAATATATGCATGCCCATGTTTATAGAAGCAATTTTTTTTTTTGGTACTGGGGATCGAACTCAGGTCCTTGCGCTTGCACAGCAGGCAGTGAAACCACTGAGCTAAATCCCCAGCCTATAGAAGCAATTTTTAATAGCTAAATCTTGGAAACAGCCCAAATGCCTATCAACCAATGAATGGATAAAGATGCAGTTGTTTTATACAATAAAATACTACTCTGCCATAAAGGATAAACCTGAGACATTTCTAACTAAATGGATGCACTTTGAGACCATACTCTTAAGTGAAATAAATAGGATACACATATTTAAATAACACACCATCTCCCTGGTGTGAGAAACTGGAAGTGTAAATAAGGACCAAAATGTATAATAGATATTGGGAAATGGGAAGAAACTGTTCAAATGGGAAGGGGAGGCCAGGCATGGTGGTACATGCATCCTAGCACTGGGAAGGCTGAGGCAGGAGGATCACTGCGAGTTCAAGGCCAGCCTTGGGTGCATAGGGAGTTCAGGGGCAGCCAGAATTACAAAGTGAGTCCCTGTCTGAAAAAAAAAAAGGAGGGGGGGGTTTGAGAAAGGGGGAGGGGGAAGGGAAGGAAGGAAGGGACAAGAAAACAAAGAGAACAGAAGGAAAAAATTGGAAACAAAGCTTTTGTTTTTTTTTTCTTTTTTGGGAGGGGGTACCAGGGATGGAACTCAGGACCTTGTGCTTGCAAGGCAGGTGGTGGCACCACTGAGCTAAATCCCTGGCTAACAAAGCTTACATAGATAAGGAGGGGAAGATGGGTTGAAGGGAATGGAGGGGAATGGGAAAAAGAAGCAAGATATATCATGTACAGGTACAAATTCCCTACGATGAACGTTATCATTATATATATTTAAAAGGTAACAATAAAAAAAACCTAGTTTAAAAAGGTAGAATAAAAAATAGATGGAATTTCCTTTAATTACTTGATTTAAAAAAAATATATATTTCCAGTGTTTTTATTTACCTTTATAGTTGATAAAAGTTGTTCAGATGCTGGAACTTCTGGCTGTAAACTTATTTCAGTTTTTTTTCTCCTTAACTGGAATTCAGTAAACAGATTAGGGTCTTAATAAAAAAGGCCTAAACATTTGGAAGAACATAAAACCCTCTGAAGAGACTAGTACACACTGTAGTCACACATTTGTTAAAATAAATTTTGTTATAGGGAAAAATGGTGTTATTCCAACTTTCAAATTAAGCATGTTTCAAGTTGGTTTTTTTTTTTTGGTACCGGGGACAAAACTCGGGACCTTGCACTTGTGAGGCAGGCAGCAAAACCACTGAGCTAAATCCTCAGCCCTAAAGTTTTGTTTTTTAAATACAAAATAAAAAGTACTCATGGCCAGGAACCAAAAAAACCCCAAAAAACAAAACTAAAAAGTATTCAGGAAGATATTACTTGCAATCTGTTTCATTTTTACACCTGGCCCTTATCATCATAAACATGCCCATAAAAAAATTAATATAGAATACACATAACATTTTGGAATAAAGGCCCTGAGGTTACTGAGTTCAGTCCTCAAACTGCCCTCATTAATCAGTGCTGTAAGAGCTGTATGGATATGCAGCATTAAAATAATTTAGCTGGGGGCGTGGTGGCACACACTTCTATCCCAGCACATGGGAGGCTGAAGCAGGAGGATCATCATGAGCTCAAAGCCAGCCTGGGCTATATAGTGAGCTCAAGGCAGCCTGAACTACACAGGGAGACCTTGTCTCAAAAAAATAGAAAAAAAAAAAGGAAGAAAGAAAAGAAAAGGGCTGGGGGTGTAGCTCAGTGCAAAGGCCCTGAGTTTGAGCCCCAGTACTGCCTCCCCATTAAAAAAGAAAAAGTAGTTTAGCCTTTTTTTGTTTTCAACATTTATCCTACCATGGCTCTTTCAACTAATGAACTTACAATTCTTGGCTGTTCTGAGTTTGGGGATCCAAGTCCACATCCCTGAGACATTTCCCAGTTTACAAAGTGGGGCATGGTCTGAGTGCCTATGTAAAGACAAAAAATACAGTTTCTGGAATCTTTTGACCTACTGTTATTTACCCAATCAAATAAAGAACACAATTGAAAAAAAAATTCATGCACAATTCGAGAGAGGCTTTTTAAAAATCCATGTAATTCTACTAACTTCATTGGGTATAATGGTGCATATCTGTAATCTCTACACTTAGAAAACTGAGGCGGGAAGACCGCCTGAGTTTCAGGCCAGCTACACAGTGAATTCAAGACCAAACCGAAGTACACAGTGAGACTCTGTCTTATTATTAATTTTTTTTCTTTTTTGGTACCAGGGATCAAACTCAGGACCTTTCACTTTTGAGGAAGGCAGCAGAACCACTGAGCTAAATCCCCAGCCTGAGACTGTTTTAAAAAAAAAAAAATTCTACTAACAATCTCAAATGAGTAAATCATAATTAGTCAAGAATTATATGTCTTGGGGACTGGGGATTTAGCTCAGTGGTTCAGCCGCCTGCTTCCGAAGTGAAAGGTTTATCCCTGGTACAAACAAAAAAAAAGAATTATATGCCAAGCCTTGCAACATTACGGCAAGAGATAAGTTTGACAGTAAACAGGAAAGGTAAAGGTATTTTGCCCTGAGCACTCTCCCACTGCCTCTAAGGTCAGAAAAGCACTGGGATTCAAAATAGTGTGGCTCTTCAGTGTGCAGCAGCATCTGCAATGTGACTGTTCCCAAGGTAGCTACCTGGATCAGAAAATTTCAATGAACAGCAGCAAATTTCAAAAATAAGAACAGGCACTGTAAACAGAAGGCTGTGAGAGCCTACATATGAAGCTGGGGGCTAATAAAATGGCTTATATTAATGAAGCAAATATATAAGTGAGTCTCTACCTGTATCTTGAGTATGCTTGAGTTTTCCAAGAGCACCGGCTAATGATGATGATCCACACTTGTATGGAACCACAGTTAGACATTTTCCATGTAGCATAAACAGATTTTCCCCATAAAACCACAGCTGCAAAAATGTTATTAAAACTGTAAGCAAATATTTTTCTTTTATCAATCTGACTCAATAAACCCTTATAACAGTAACTTATTATGAGCTATCTCAGTATGAGAATGAACACACCAAAGTGAAGAAACTTTCCAAAATAATATGGGGTGTTATCAAAAATACAGTGAACATGGCCAGGGATTTAGTTCAGTGGTTCCACCGCCTGCCTCACAAGCACAATCCCCAGTACCAAAAAAACCCAAAAAACAAAAAACAGTGACTAGTGCTATCAAATGCCATCCAAAGGAAAGGCCGATTCAGGAAAACATTACATTGTGAGTCCTCATCCACCTTGCTCATCAGATTTGGCACCATGTAACTTCTAGCTCTTCCCCAAAGACAAAATGACCATGGAAGACAGAATCAGAGCATCAAGGCAGCTTCAAGAGTGCAACTAAAGATACTCATGAAAGAGGACTTTCAGAACAGCTTCAGAAAGTGGCAAGAATTTTTGCCAGGGATTTAGCTCAGTGGTTCCAGCACCTGCCTTGCAAGAGCAGTCCCGAGTTCGATCCCCGGTACAAAAAAAAAAAGAAAGTGGCAAGAACAATGGGATAAGTGTGTTTGAACTAACGGGGATTAATACCAAGTGCTTTCAGGTAATAAAAAATTTAAATTTAAGCTGGGTGTGGTGGTGCACACCTGAGTCCCAGCACTTAGGAGACTGAGGCAGGAGGATCACTGCGAGTTTGAGGCCAGCAGAGGTAACA